CCAAGACCCCCGGGTGGGCAGCGGCGGAACGCGACGGCCAGACCGAGGAACAGGAGTGCGCCCTCAGAGGGGTTCCCGGGTCGCTGGGGGCGGCCTCGCGCCCCCTGCCCACCCCAACCCGGAGGCTCCGGGATTGGGAGCGAGAAGGGGAGGTGCGACCCCGCCCCTGGACCGCCCCCTTCGGACTGGAGGCTGCACTGGAAGGGGGGGACTCCGAGGAGGGGGCGACGTGATCGCCTTCCCCACCCCAAACACGGCCGCGGCCCGCCCCCTGCTGGAGGAGGAGGTGGTTTCAGGATGCCCGAGCCCAGCCCCGACGTCCTACAGAGCGGGGAGCTCTCCAGGCTGGACCCTGAAGACCCAATCTCCCAGCTCTGGCTCCTGGAGAAATGATCCATCTCCATGGCCGTTCCTCTGACGCATACCAGCCCCTAAGCCCTCACCGACCCCGTTCACACCTCTTGGAAGGAGGGGACTCCATTCCAGGGGCGTCTCCCCTCTTAAAGCCACTGCAAATGTGAGGACCCTCGGGAGCTGGGGTCAGGGCATATGCGCACTCCACTGGGGCTTGGCAAGATCGACCGCGCCCCTTCCCTAGCCCCGCCCATTGCACCTGCCCTATTTAGACCACACCCAGGCCTTCTCCCTCCCCACTCCGCCCTGACCCGGGCCCCTGGTGTGGTGGAAGGGGTGGGAGCTGCTGGGTTCTGCTACACTTTGTGACCTTGGGTGAGTCACTTCAGCTCTCCGAGCTCCGGTCCATGAAGGATGTCCTCACTGGTGGTAGTAGTAATATTGTCCCCACCACAGACCTAAGGCTTAAATTTTAAGACCACTGTGGGCCGTACATCAGAGAGCAAAGGACGACCACACAGGATACAAATGGAGGCCTAGAGAAGGCGGAGCACACCCAAGGTCACATGGCCTCGTGTCCCCCCATTCATCCAAAGAAAGCCATTGTCTGGGTACCCTAAGACCTATTTGCCAACCCCAGAGGCCAAAAAGCCTGTTTCTGAGGCTGCTGAGGCAGCTGTCAAGCCAAACGCCCCTGAGGGCCAGGCAGGAAAGAAAAGGGATTCTCCCCATTTTTACCTTGTCCTTACTCCGTGCTCAGGGTGGGCCTGGCCCTGGGGTTCACTTTTTCCACCCTGCCAGGAAGATGCTTTTGCTGCCTCCGTTTCACAGATGGGAAAACAGGCACCAGCCTCCCCTGGGCCTCTGATCTGAGGCCCTCGGACCACTGCTGCCAGGAAGATGCTTTTGCTGCCTCCGTTTCACAGATGGGAAAACAGGCACCAGCCTCCCCGGGGCCTCTGATCTGAGGCCCTCGGACCACTGCCCTCTGCTGAGTGGGCTCAGATCAGACGGCCCTGTGCCTTCTCCGGCCCCATTCCTAAGCAACTGGGGCAGCTCCCTAGGCCCACCCCTCTGCTGCTCCCAGCCCAGGCCGCCCAGGCAGGAGCTCACAGCCTGCCTAAGCCTGACCCCCGGCCCACTGACCCCAGCCCTGGCCCCAGTGGGCGGGCAGGCATTGCTCAACCTTTGGGTTATCTGCTGAGCTGGGGTGACCTCCGCCCCCAAGAGCTGGAGAAATGACATCTCCATGCGCCCTTGGGGGGTGGGGCATGTAGGGACGGGATAACACACTGGCCCAGCCTACTGGCTTGCTGGGGAGGGATGGAGGCCCAGAGGGGTGTGGCAACTTCCCCAGGGCCACCCAGCCAGGCCTTCCTTCCCAGCCGCAAAGTGGGACACTCAGGGCTGAACTGGAGAACCATGGCCTCCAAGAGGCCCTCCCTGTCCCGCCCACTGGTGAACTTCCTTCCCAGCCCTATCTCCAGCCACCATTATCCCAACTGTCTTGTCTGCCTTGGTCTCCCCATGAGACTGCCCCCTCCTTGAGGGCTGGCCCTTGAGTACTGGAAGTCCTGGGCCCAACATGCTCAAACTTTACCAGCGAATGAATGCATTTGCTGTTCCCTCCTAACTGAGGACACTGTCCCCCAGCTCTGCCCAAAGCAGCTCTTCAGGATTCTACCCAAAGGTTACCTCCTCCACCAATGTAAGCCCGATTTTCTGGATGGAAAAACTGAGTCCCAGTGAAGGGTGACCTGGGCTCACAGTGAGTCAAGGGGTAACTCAGTCCTTGAGGACCAGCCTCCAAGGACCAGACTCAGCCCCATTAGGGGTCCTGGCTCTCTGCCCTCTGGGTTGGAACTTGCTTCCTTCCCACACTCTCCTGTCCCCTGCCAGGGATCACCCACCCCTGTGGTGAAATCAGTAGCAGTTCGCAACCCAGTAGCAACCCAGGTGTCCTGCAGGGAGGTGGCTAGCACCATTGGGGTGACGTAAGCCCTTGTTTTTACAAGGCTTATTTCTCAACAGGCCCTGCCTGCTGCCCCACCAGTAACGCTCAGCCTTTCCCCAAGAAGGGGGGGGTGATGGGAGCTCGAACCCAGAGGCCCAGAGCATGGCTGAGGGGGTGTGCAGGCCCAGCCACTTCCGCCCCACAGACAGCGAGGGCCCAGGAAACCAGGATCCACCTGGCATCACCTGTCCCAGTCACAGACCTTCGGAACTTAGGGCTGGGGTGGATCTCGGACTGGCAGGCAGTGGCCAAATCCAAACCACAGACTGTTCAGTCTGACCCCATAGTGTTTTGCCTGGTTTTTTGTTTGTTTTTTAAGTAAATTTATTGCCTACATTTAAAAATCAAGACACTTCACATCAAAATTTAAATTTCTGGCTTCTCTTTTAAAACCTGAAGCCATGAGCTGGGCCCATGTGGTCACACGGTGGTGGGTAGGAGCCAGGCGGGGGCGGTGGAGGGGACAGGCACTGTCCTACCTGGGACACACGTCTTCCTCTGCTCCCAAGCTGCTTCTCAGAATTCCTCCTCCAGCTTTGCGCAGCTTTGCCTTAGCCCCATTTTCAGGAGGAGAAAACTGAGGCGACTTGCCCAAGGGGAGACCTGTTGTTGCTTCTTTGATGGAGAGGGGCTTGGAAATCAGCCAGCAGATGGGAAAATAAGTGGAAAGGCGAGCCAGCAGACCATTAACGGGGTTGTCTCTAGTAAATGTGGGACGGGAGGGTGCAGGCGTTGGACTTTCGTCCCTGCTCTGTACCCTCCTTGCTGTAGCACTCTGGCCACTTCTGATGTCCCCTCTGGGCCTCAGTCCCTGGTCTGTAGAATGGGGGTGACAATAACCCCTCTCCCTCAGGGGTTCTGGGCCTGCTGTTCCCCTCACAGCTGCCCCTTCCTGACCCATGGAGTGAATCAGAGTTCCCTTTAACCCCAGAAAGGGCTTGACTTAGGCAAGCCATGAAAACCTCATGGGGAAACTGAGGCCTAGAAAGGGTCAGGACTTCTCCCAAGATCATAGTGAATTGTTCAAACAGCTAGACTTAAGAAACCTGATTCTGATGTCCAAAACTTTCCCCACCACACCTCTCTGAGGCCTCAGTTTCCCTATCTGCCAAATGGGGCTGGCGGAGATTAGATCCCTGAGGACAGCCTCTCCTGGATACTCTGGGATCTGGGATTTTGGAATCCTCAGAGATGGTCAGGCTGGCTAGTGAAACTTGCCTGAGCATATGCTGCCACCACGTGGCCGACTCTGGGACGGTAGGAGTGTTTTAAATGAATCCTCTGGATTGAGGACCGACTGGACACCTTGCTCTGGGATACAGAGAGGCCAGCACTGTGGATATGATAGATGCTCACAGGACGTAAGCAGGCCGCTGAAAGGAACAAAAATGTCCAGCAAACAGACAAAAGGTGCTCAACCTATTTGGTAAATGTAATCATTCATCAAATATTTTGGGCACCTACTGTGGTTCAGATCTCAGAGACACATTAATGAACAAGACAGGAGGGATTCCTGTTCTGATGAGTTGAAACTCTCCTGGGGGAAGACAAACAATCAGCAAGATAAATGAGTAAAGTACGTGTTGTGTTAGCTTCTGGTAAGTACTATGGAGAAAAATACGGCAGGGAAAGTGGATGGAGGGTGCTAGGGGTTTGATTTTAACTTTAGAGTGGTCAGGGAAGGCCTCACTGAGGTGATATTTGACCAAAACCTGAGTGCAGGGAGGGAGGGGCCATGCAGATATCCGTGGGAAGAGTGCACCACCAGGTGGGGAACAGCAAGTACAAAGGGCCTGAGGCAGGAGCATGCCTGGCCCACCTAGTTATTGTGGGTGGAGTAAAGGAAAATAGCAGGAAATTATGTCATAGAAAGAGTGGGGGCCATAGCACACCAGGCTTTGTGGGCCATTGTCAAGGCTTTGGCCTTTTCTCTGGGTAAGTAGGTACCATGGAGAGTTCTGGGCAGAGGAGGGGAAGGATCTGACTTCAATTCTACCAGGATCCCTCTGGCCACATGGAGGGATGAACCATAGTGAAGGGAAGGTCAGGAGCAGGGAGACCCGTGAGGAGGAAACTGTAGCTGTGCAGGCCAAACATGATGGTAGACTAGAGCAGGGTGTTGGACATGGAGGTGGTAAGAAGCGGTCAGAACCTGAATCTGTTTTGAAGGTGGAAACCAGGATTTGCTGATGGATCGGGTTATAGAACAGCTACACAATGGACCACTCAACAGGCACTTAAAAGGACAAGGTATATGACACCAAAAGCACAGGTAAAGAGACAGATAAATTAGACTACATCAAAATTTAAAAGTTCTATGCATCAAAGAGAGTGAAAAGGAAAACGATGAAATGGGAGAAAATATTTGCAAGTTGTATATCTGATAAGGGGTTAATATCCAGAATATATGAAGAACTTGCACAACCCAATAGCAAAATAAATAAATAAATAAACAACTCTGTTAAAAATGGGCAAAGTACTTGAATAAACACTTCTCCAAAGAAGGTATATGAATGGCTGATGAGCATCTGCAAAGGTGTTCAGCACCACTAATCATTAGGAAAATGCAGATGAAAACCATAGTGAGATCACCTCGCACCCATTAGGATGGCTACTGTCAAACCAACAAACAAAACAGAAAATAACAAGTGTTGGTGCGAATGTGGAAAAAAATGGAACTTTTGTGCAGCTGCTGTAGGAAACTGTATAGTGATTCCTCAAAAAATTAAAAGAAGAATTACCATATTACCCAGCAATTCCACTTCTGGGTATATGGCAAAAGAATTATAGCAGGGTCTTAAACAGATATTTGATTTTTTTTTTAATAGCAGCAGCATTCACAATAGCCAAAAGGTGGAAGCAACCCAAGGATCTATTGATGGATGAATGGATAAACACAACGTGGTATATACATGCAATGGAATATTATTCAACTTAAAAGGGAAGGAAATTCGGACGCATGCTCCAACACTGTTGAACCTTGAAGACATCATGCTAAGTGAAATAAGCTAATCACAAAATGACAATTACTTTATG